TTAAGAGCACTGGCAGCTCTTGCAAAGGACAGAGGTTTGGTTCCTAGAATCCACATCATGGCTAACAATCTTTAGTATGTCCAGTTCCAGGGGATCTGACACTCTCTTCTGATCTTCATGGGCATTGCATGGCACAGGCACACTTATATACATGCAGGCAATACACTCATACACATAAAAGAAAAAATAACAAAGACACTTTGGTCTTCTATACTCAAAGTATCTGGACTGCTTCAACAAGACTGCCTATTAGTACCGAGAAAGGAAAAAAAAAAAAAAAAAAAAAACCACTATGAAATCTCTTATTAATGTCAGCTGGTTAAGAAGCCCTTTTTGGGGCTGGAGAGATGGCTCAGTAGTTAAGAGCACTGACTGCTCTTGCAGAGGACTGGGATTCAATTCCTAGCACTCACATGGTGGCTACGAACGGTCCTTAACTCCAGTTCCAGGGGAATCCGAAGCACTCTACTGACCCTCTGCAGCATTGCACAATATGGTGCACTCACATACATGCAGGCAAAACACTCATACACATAAAACAAAAATAACAAAATATTAAAAAACCCCAGAACTTCTTATAAAAAAACGCGTTTGTTATCATACTCCTTTAAGAACTATTCTATAAATATGGTCTACATTAATTTTTCTTATTCTAATTGTGGTGACTACTTTTAATCAGAGGCCCACATAGGGAGAATGTGAATAAACTCATTCTCATACCCAAGCATCTGGCACACACACAGAAAAAGTAAAAGTTTAAGTCTTATCATTTTTTGCAACTTGGGACTAAACTTTATCAAGAAATGTGTTCAAATTTGGGTCTTGACAGAATGAGACTTTTTTTTCAAGTGTATTTCTTTTCTAAAGATGACAAGACACAGGTATTCTATACAGACAGTGTATCTATTAGGTGTATTCAGTTTGTAGGGAATCTTGATCTACTTCACTTGTTGAGGACAAATTACCACACTCTATTAAGCATGTTCACAGCAGTTGGTTTATTCAGGCCAAGCTAGGGGAGGACTTCCTTTCAAATGAATATGAAAAAATGCATTTGTGAGCAAGGCACTTTTATACATATAGACAAAAAAGATCATAACATGGATAAACACATTAGGCTAATGGTTTGGTGAAAATAAGCTGGATAATGCCAAGGTTGGAGAGTTCACTTTACAAACTGGAACTGCTCTGTGAAAAGCAGCTGAGGGCAGCAACAGTTAATAAACTGGCTCCTTGCACACCTTGAGCCATCTTTTGGGCATATAGAAAAATTCTCCACAAAACTAATATGTATTATGATACATTCTGAAGCGTCATCTGTGATAAGGAAAATTCTTCTACATTTCTATTATTGGAGGAGAGGATAGGTAAAATATGTGGAACCAAACAATTAGAAGCATACACAAACATGAATGAACATTAAGGTATAGCTGGAAAAGAAAAGAAATGCAAGAAACACTATAAACCTCTCATTTATACCATTCTGAAGGGGTAGTTTCCAAAATAAAAGTCAATGAACATTTTGTTTTCAGATCAATATATTGAGCTATATTAATATGGTCACATAGTATAGCTTCAGGTCATGATTTTCTTCTTGTGAGTATTTCTCTGGCTTTCACACATTCTTTATATATAAAGTCAGCTCCCAAGACAGTGCCTAGCATGAGATTAAGGCCTGCAGTAAACAGAGTCAGAAAAAAGAGCCCCCCAATTTTATTTTAGTAATTTAGAAGTATAGTGGAAAAACAGGCAAACAAATGAAACCATTTTTAAAAATAGGATCAACAAAGACAATGGTACTATAGCAGACCAAGGAAACTACTTATGACTTTAAGAAATAAATGCTAGTACTTACAAACCTAGTTTACAATATTACCTACTTCAGAGAAGACTACTTTGTCATTTAAGTCTTTATTTGACTGAGACAGGAGGGTTGCTTTAAAGTTTGTCTTTTTATATTTTATTTTTATTTTATGTGTATGCGTGAATTGCCTGCATGTTGGTAAGTGCACCCATGTCGTGCAATGCCCGCGGAGGACAGAAGAGGCTGTCGGATCTCCTAGAACTGGAGTTACAGACAGTTGTCAGCTGTCATGTGGGTGCTGGGATTTGAACCCGGGTCTTATGCAAGAACAACCAGTGTTCTTAACCGCTGAACCATCTCTCCAGCCCTGATATTCTTTTTAAAAAAAATTTTATTAAATTTATGTTTATGCGTGTATTGCCTACGTGTAGGTAAGTGCACCCGTGTTGTGCAATGCTTGCGGAAGACAGAAGAGGCTGTTGGATCCCCTGGAACTTGAGTTAAGGACAATTATTGGCTGCCATGTGGGTGCTGGGATTCGAACTCGGGTCTTCTGCAAGAACAACCAGTGTTCTTAACTGCTGAGCCATCTCTCCAGCCCCACAATAGATATTCTTTAGTTTCAGTTACTTTCTGAACAAAGTTTACCAAGTACATGAAGAAATTCAGTATTTGTTCTTTCTCATAGCAAAAGCCAAGAACCATGTAACCTTTACAGCAATGAGGCTGTTTCAATTTAATATAGCATATTGGAAAGGTTCTTTGATTATAATGCTGAAAAAATAACGAACAAAACCACACAGCATTTATTAAAACAACAAAAACCCCCACAACCCTTCTCAAAACAAAGTTATACTGACCTCTGGTGGCCAGATTTCTCATAATTTCAGTAACGGACAGTGAACTAGCCAGATAAAATCTTGCTTCGATATATTGTAAGAAATTTTACTAAACACAGCAATAAAGATAGCAAGCATCAAAAACATTGTAAGACAATTAAGGTGAAAATATGAATATATTCTAACTTTGAGTGAGATGATTTCACATTAAAAAATGTATTTATAGTGGTTCTCTTTTCATCGTTTTTTACTTTAAATTTGTGTGTGTGGTACATGCATGTGTGTGCAGGAGGTGGCCAGACATTGATGCTGAGTGTTTTCCTGGACTGCTTTCCACTTTTTATTTTGAGACAGGGTCTCTCACTGGACCTGGAGCTTGCCATTTTGGCAAGACTGACTGGCCACTGAGCCTCAGGATCCACCTGTCCTCCCATGCTCCGTCAAGTGCTGGGGTGCAGATGGATACAACACATGGTTTTAAGGGGCTTCTAGGGGTGTGAACTCATGTTCTCATGCTGGTCTAGCAAGCATTTCTCTTACTGAGCCATTTCCTAGCCCCTACACTGATTCTCAAAGTACAAAGCAGTTCTGTGTGCTCCTGAGTAACAGGAATGTACTCAGCACTTGAAATGTCACGACTGCAAAAACAACACCCAAACACAAAGATTTAGTAGGAAAAAAACGGAAGCAATGCTTTAAAAAAATTTATATTGATTGCACGGCTGAAATGATTCTGCATATATCTGAATAAAATATTAGTAACCTGGGGCTGGAGAGATGGACTAAGAGCACTGGCTACTCTTAGAGAGGACCTGGGTTCAGTTCCCAGCACCCAGATGGTGGCTAACAAATGTCCACAACTCCAGTTCCAGGGGGCCTGTCATTCTCTTCCGGCCTCTGAAGGCATTGCATGTATGGTACACTTACAGGCATGTAGGCAAAACACTGAAACACACAAAAATAATAAACACAAAACTATTAGTAACCTTTCTAGGTTTCCCTTTCACTAGTTTCCAGGCACTCTGTGTATTATAAGGTATACAGACATTCTTAGCCTGTTTATGCTTTCAACGGGTAAGTTCTTCCTGAAATTAGACGTTTTCTTATTTCAAAATGACAGGCAACCAAATGTTTCCACAGCCATCTCTTTAGCATTTGTGTACCTATGAACTTTCAGAAATTAGGAATGGAGCAGAACTAGGTCACATACACAGGATGAACATTTTTTTTGGCATCCTGTCTGTGTCTCAAGTCTCTCATCTTAAAAGGAAATGGAAATAAAGGAGTAAATGAAGTGTTTACAATGGTGTCTGTCACGTAAGGGCCAATAAACTATGCTACTATTTACATATACATCAATAAGAATAACGCCCCAAACTAATGCTGACTGGAAAAAGGGCAGGTACACTTATTATTTATATAATGAATGGTGAAACCATGCAAAACTGCACAACACTTTCATTCAGGCATTTGCTTACGGCGTTAACATATAAATGCTGGGTGCTGAAAATTAACAGTAAGTTAAAAAAATCGGGTTACTTCGTAAGGATGTAAGGTGAAAGGAGAAGGCGTACAAGCAGCCTTGAAATACTCCCTTTCTTTTCCTGGCAGCGTATACTGGGGCGCATGGATGGAAGCTAGTTTCTCTCCGTCCTGAGTCTAACTTCTTTGAATTATGAATTAACAGAAGACATTAACCAGAATGGAAAAATAAAAAACCCACATATAGTAAAGTGCGTAGACACAAGACTGCCTGGAAACATGAAGCTAAAGGCGGGTGATGGAGTTTCCACCTTGCAGAGTTACAGAGCGGAACTGGGGCGGTTTAGTGCACCTCGAGTCCGGAGGGTTTGGAAAGCAGTGCGAACGGAAGTACGCTTCGCTACGTGCCCCAGCCTGCGCCTCCCAGGCCGGCCGTCCCCCCGCAGGGCCTACGGCGTCCACACCACCAGGGCTCGCCTTCAGAATCCGGCACCCGCGCCCTCCTCGCAAGCCTCAACTTCCGCGACACCCTCGCTTTCCCTTCGAAGTTTCTCAAACGTGTCCTTCGCCTCCGGTCTGTCCCTCCGGCAGCAGCTGCGGAGACCGAGCCCTCCGCGGACTCCGGTTCTCACCCCGGTCTGGCCTCAACCTCGGCCGCGCGATCCCGCTATGCGGTGCGCCTCAAAGCGACTCTAGGCCAAGCTACTTGACGACTATACCGCTTCCGGTCAGAAACACCGCTGGCCGCGAAGGAAAACACCACAGGCCACACCTCTAGCGCAAGCGTCCGGACCGCGGGGTCTGCCGGGCATTGGCCAGTCTCTCCACGCTCCGGAGCCCCGCCTCTCGCTGAAGTCTCGCGGTGTTTCCTCCTCCCGCGGGAGTTGTTTGAAAACTCTGGCGGTAACCCCGCCCTGGATGTTTGCTGGCCAGCTAGCTGGACTCTGAGGTCAGCGGACTTCTCGGCGGCCCTGGCCTACAGTCCCCTGAGGGCCGCTGTCGTCCTGGAGCCATGGGAGCGGAGAAGAAACCGCTTCCTGTGAAGGAGGCTTTTCGTCTGGCGCAGCAGCCGCACCAGAACCAGGCGAAACTGGTGGTGGCGCTGAGCCGCACGTATGGCGCGGTAAGCGGCCTGGCCTCCGCGGGGACCCTGGTCTCTGCCCGCCGCCCCCGGGGGCTGCGTGGGAGACCCCGGGCTTCCGCCTCTGCCTTGACGCTGCGGTACCGGCTTCCCAGCAACCTGGGTTTAGGGTGTCCTGAGACTGGCCCGAGGTTTCCAGAGCTGTCAGCGGCCGGGCATCGTCTACACCGAATCCCTTCGCTCTCCGGCTCCGGTAGCCCTTTAGTCTCAGTGCATTGTATATTGCGAGGGTCGGACTGCAGAGTGATTTGCACCTGGTGATTTCCTTCGGGAAATCTACCATCAGGTTATTCCAACCAAACCCTCAGTGTAAATAGAATCCATTTACCAAAATATTAAAGTTAGGACCTGACCCCGCCTATTCCTGTTAACACCGTGCTTGTAGAGAGTGGGACCCGGGGTCGGGAACTTGGGGTGGTAAATCGTCTTGGAGTTCCAGAAAAATGGATAAGTGGACAGAAACAGGGTGTTGAGGGTGGGAAAGGTACAGCAAAAGGAAGTTGCTCGCTGATAGGAAGATCTGAATCAGGAAAGTACAAAACCGGCAGTGCTTTGAGTTATTTCTGAACAAGCTTTTTTTTACCCCAATCTGATATGAAGGATCTGGAGAATTGAAAAAAAGAACGATTTCTCCATCCAGATTTATGCTCTGTACTCTGGAACGTGCAAATTATGCACAAGTTTGTGCGGGTTTATTTCCCTTTTGGATAGTTGTTTACTAAAAATGATTTTATTTTCACTTATGTTTAGGACCTTCCGCTGTATTAGGGCAATGTTGGGGATAAAGAATTTCTATCAATGCGGTTTATGAGGAGTTTTTTTTGTCTTTCAGATGGATGATAAAACAGTTTTCCAGGAGGAGTTTGTCCACTACCTTAAATATGCTATGGTGGTCTATAAGCGGGAACCTGCCGTGGAGCGCGTAATAGAATTTGCAGCCAAGTTTGTTACTTCTTTTCACCAATCCGAGAATGAAGATGAGGAGGAGGATGGTGGCATTTTAAATTATCTGTTGACTTTTCTTTTAAAGGTATTGTGAAAACTAGCACTTTAGGGAGGAAATGTAGAGAATTGTCCATGGCTTTTGTTATTTTCTGTAGAACATCTGGTAATAAGGAAAACATGTTAATGAGTCTTTTATAGGAAATCATAACTGTCATTAAGATGAAAAGAACTCCAGAATTACATTTTTAAAGATCAGTTGGAATTCTCATATGGTTCTTTGGAATTTTTTTTGCTTTGAGGTAAATGAGTTATGACACGAAAGACATATGCTTATTTTGTAATATAGCGTATTTTTTCAGACCGAGATTATAAAAAAAATCTGTTTAGTGTGCATATGCATATACATTATAGCTTCTGTGCAACTAATGAGTTGCTGTTCTTATTGTTTGTGGTGCTAAAGATTGAACCTATTATAGGTGCTAGGCTTAAGCTGTTCCACTGAGCTAAATCTGTAGCACTGTCTTTTTTTAAAAAAGTATTTTGTTTATTTTATGTTTATACGTGTATTGCCTGCATGTAGTTAAATGCACTCCTGTCATGCAATGCCCATGGAGGACAGAAGAGGCTATGGATCCCCTGGAACTGGAGTTACGGCAGTTGTTAGCTGCCATGTGGCTGTTGGGATTCGAACCCTGGTCTTTTGCAAGAACAACCGGTGTTCTTAACCACTGAGCCATCTCTCCAGCCCCTTTAAAAATATGTTATTATTGTTTTTATGTGTATGGGTTATTGCCTGCGTGTAAGTAAGTGCACCCAAGTCCTGCAATGCCCGCGGTGGATAAAAAAGGCTGTCGGATCCCCTAGAACTGGAGATAGGACAGTTGTTAACTGCAATGTGGGTGGTGGGATTCAAACCCGGGTCTTCTTCAAGAACAACCAGTGTTCTTAACAGCTGAGCCATATCTCCAGCCCCAAAACTATTTAGTTTAGAATATTTTTTGCAGCTGTTATACAACTGTATTAATAAAATTTGTTTTTAAGTACTATATTACATATATTGTCAATTGCCTTTGCCTAGAGAAAGGAAATGGATTCGAACCCTGGTCTTTTGCAAGAACAGCCAGTGTTCTTAACTGCTGAGCCATCTCTCCAGCCCCTGTAGCTCTCTTTTTTACGCTTTACTTTGAGACAGAGTTTCTTTATGTTGCACAGGCTGGTCTTGAACTCATTCTGTAGAGCAAAGAAGCCTTGAATGTGTGGTTTTCCTCCTTCCCCAATACCTGAGATTACACCAGCCCGGCTATATTGTCACTTCTGCAATTTGGAACATACAAAGATAAAACAGTATTGATGAGTTTAAGAATGGAATGTGACTAGGATTAACTTGTGATTTGTTTTGTTTAGTCTCATGAAGCAAACAGCAATGCAGTGAGATTTAGAGTATGCCAGCTCATAAACAGGCTCCTGGGAAGTATGCCAGAAAATGCCCAGATCGATGATGATTTGTTTGATAAAATTAATGAAGCCATGCTTATTAGATTGAAAGATAAGATTCCAAATGTAAGAATACAGGCAGTTTTGGCTCTTTCTCGACTCCAAGATCCCAAGGATGATGAATGCCCAGTGGTTGATGGTATGTATGATTTCCTACATATTTTTATTAGTATAATTTTAATGTCTATGGATTTATTGCCTTTGTTTTTTTAAAAATAATTTTTGTATTTTTTGAGTATTTCACCCACCTAGTCCCCCTTAAACTCTTCCCATGCCCCCCACTCCCTCTCAGATTCTTGTCCTTTTGATTATTAGTCCTCTGTATACATACATACATTTATAAATATGCACATTTATAATGCACTGAGTCCATTTAGTGGTGCTCATGTGTACATGTGTTTAGGGCTGCCCACTTGGAATTAGATGACCTCTAAGGGAGCCAGTCCCTTGGGAAAACTGATTCTCTCTCCCTCCCTCAGCATCCATTGATTGCTTACAGTTCTTCATCTTGAGGTGGGATCACAGTGTATTTCCCCCTTCCACATTGGTATGTCAATCGGTCTTGTCATTATGCAGATCTTGTTAGGCTCTCATGCTGTAGAAATTGCATGGTTGTAGCTTAGCTATCATGTCTAGAATATATTAGCTAGCAGCAGGTATCTTGTGCCTCTGGCTCTTAATCTTTCTGCTCCCTCTTCTGTGATGTTCCCTGAGGTGTAGAGGTTGCATTAAAGGTATGACACTTAGGGCTGGTACCGCACAGTGACTTATTCTCTGTATTTGTTTGTTTTTTTTTTTTTTTTTGAGACAAAGTCTCCCTGTAGCCCCAGCTGACCAGGAAATCACTATGTAGACCAGGCAGGCCTTGAACTCATAAAGATCCGCCTGCCTCTGCCTCCCAAGTGCTGGGACTAAAGGCGTGTGCCACCATGCCTGGCTATTCTCTGTATTTTGACCGTTGTGAAACTTTGTAATAGTTCGTCTGTTGCCAAAAGAAGCTTTTAATGAGTGGTGAGAGTTAAACTTTTCTGTAAATACAAGAATACATATTTCTGATATAGTAAGAAATTACATTGATTTAGAAAACTGGCAGCAGTAGGTTTTTCTCTAGGGTCTGTGACTTCTCCAACCATGTGTACTTGACTCTGTTTACAGGATCATGCACGGGTTCCCTCCTATTGTGCAGACTTTAAGTCCAATTAGACAGTTGTTGATTATCCTGTCCCAAAGATAAAAAGTACCACTCTTGCAGCAATAGAGCTATTTTGCTCACTCTGGTCATCATCGTGGTTCGTAGGCTTCACAACTGGGTAGGCCCATTGATTGGTTTTTCTCCCTTGGCAACTTGCATAACACTTTCTGATACTAAAGACCCTAGGCTTCAGGGAATAGACTTCCAGGTCAGTTCCAGTTCAATTGCTCCATGTCCTGCATTCGAAATATATGGTGTTGTCAGCAATAGGGTCTTATAAGTTCCGGGATGCCATCAATGGCTATGGCAATAGCCTATATTGTTTTGGGAGTCTTTTGGACTACCCTGACCAACAAGTCGAAGGAAGGTTTCCCTTGCCTGGCATTGGGATTTTTTTCAGCTGTATACACACAGTCACATATATATTGTATATGTTTTTTTTTTTTTTTTTTTTTTTTTTTTTTGTCTTTTTTTTGAGGCAGGGTCTCCCTGTAGCCCCAGCTGGCCTGGAACTCACTCTGTAGACCAGGCTGGCCTTGAACTCACAGAGAACCACCTGTCTCTGCCTCCCAAGTGCTGGGATTAAAGGCGTGCACCACCACGCCCAGCTGTATATGTATTTTTAAGTAGGCTTATGAACAAATACATTTTCCTCTGGTTTTTCAGGCAACCTTAGTATTTAATTATCTCTTCCTTGCTCTCCCCCTGTTAGCCCTCCTTCCCTCCCCAGTTAAAGTAACCTCCAATGGTTACTATATTTACATATTTTCCACCCTCCCTCTCCCTGTTCTAGCTCCTCCCATTTCCCATTTTCATTCCTTTCCAATTTCATCACCCCTTCAATGTTGTTACATATATATACATATATAACCTACTGAGTCCATTTAGCGATGCTTGTATGTACATGTGTTTAGGGCTGTTGGAATTGGGTAACCAAAGTTCCAACCCACTTTTGGATTCAGCAACTTCTGTACTTGGTAAGCTTTGATCCTCTGCCCATCTCTTAGTTTTTGAGGTATTTATTTTTTCTTTCCCCCTATATAGCCCTTCTTCCTCTTTCCCCCAGTTAAAGCCGCCCCCCCCCCCAATTTCCCTCTTGGTACCACCTGTGTCTTACTTTTTCCCTCTCTCCCCAAGGTTCTTTTCTATTATTCTGATTCCTGTGGCTGCATCAGTATATATACTCATATCTATGGATTGGAAGCTAGGGTCCACAAATGAGAGAGAACATGCATTGCTTGTTTTTCTGAGTCTGGATGTTCTCATTTAGTATAACAATTTCTTGTTCATTTTGCTGCAGATTTCATGAGTTCATTCTTGGCTGCTGAATAGAACTCCATTGTGTAAATGTGCCACATTTTCATTATCCATTAATTGGTTGAGGGACATTTAGGTTGTTTCCATTTCCTAGCTATTGTGAAAAGAACAGCAATAAAACACTGCTGAACAAGTATCTCAGTAGTAGGATATTGAGTCCTTTGAGTATATGTCAGGGAATGGTATAGCTGGATCATTTGGTAGATCTATTTTTAGTTTTGTAAGAATTCTCTACATACTAGATTTCTGTAATGACTGCACCAGTTTGCAATTCTACCAGCAGTGAATATGGGTTCCCTTTACCCACATCCTCGATAGCATTTGTTGTCATTTGTTTTCTTGATCTTAGCCATTCTGACTGGGGTAAGATGAAATGTTGAGGTAATTTTAAGATCAATCAAAGGATATTGAATACTTGTAAAGGTGTTTCATAGCCATTCAGGTCTGTAGCTCATTTTTCAATTGGTCATTAGTTTTCTTGATTCTTTGTTTTTTGAATTCTTTGTGTATTGAAATCATCCATCAGCTTTGTATAGCTAGCAGAGATTCTTTTTAACTTCATGGGTTTCCAGACTCAAATTGATTGTTTCCATTGCTGTATAGAAACTTTTTAGTTTAATGATGTCCCATTTGTCAGTTATTAGTCTTAATTCCCAAGCGAATAAGTCTGATTTAGAAAATCAGTTCCAGGCTGGAGAGATGGCTCAGAGGTTAAAAACACTGAATGTTCTTGCACAAGACAGGTTCAAATCCCAGCACCCACATGGCAGCTAACAGCCATCTGTAACTCCAGTTCCAGGGGATCCCACGCCCTCTTCTGACCTCCGTGGGTATTGCATGACATGGGTGCACTTCCATACATGTAGGCAATACACATATACATAAAAAAATAAAATTAATAAGAAATGTGAAAAAGAAAGTCATTTCCTCCACCTATATCATAGGTTACTCCTGTGTTTTCTTCGTTTGTTTCAGGTTTCACATTGAGGTATTTGGAGTTGATTTTTGTGAAGGGTAATAGATACACATCTGATTTAATTCTTCTACATGTAGAGATCCAGTTTTCCCAGTACCATTTGCTGAAAATGTGTGTATTTTTGGCATGCTTGTCAAATATCAGGTGACTGTAATTGTGTGCACTTGTGTTTGGGTCTTCTGTTTTGTCCCTTTGATTTATTTTATGTGTCTGTTTTTGTGCCAAAATCATGCTGTTTTTATTACTATAGCTCTATAATAGAGTTTGAAATTTGGTATGTTAATCCCTTTAGCATTGCTCTTTGTTCTCAAGATTGCTTTGGCTATCCAGGGTCTTTTGTATTTCCTTACGCATTTTAGGATTTTTATTTTTTCCTATTTCTGTGAAGAATGTCATAGAGATTTTGATTGGAATTGCATTGAATCTGTAAATTTCTTTTGGTAAGATGGTCATTTTCACAATATTAATTCTTCCAGTCCATGAGCACATGAAGTCTTTCCATCTTCTAGTGTCCTCCTCAATTTCTTTCTTCAAAGACTTGAAGTTTTCATTGTAAAGCTCTTTCATGTCTTTGGTTAGGTTTATTCCTAGATATTTTATTTTTGAGGTTATTGTGAATGGGAGTATTCCATGATCACTTTCTTTGACTATTTGCTTTTGGTATATAATAAGGCTAGTGATTCTTTTAATTTTTTTTTTTTAGACAGGGTCTTCCTGTAGCCCCAACTGGCCTGGAATTCTCTATGTAGACCACAGATATCAGCCCGCCCTGTCTCTGCCACCTGAGTGTTGGGATTACAGGCTTGTGCACCACACCTGGCCAGTTTTTGTAAATTAATGTATCTTACCGCTTTGTTGAAAGTATTGATCATCTCTGGAATTTTTCTGGTGCAATTGTTTGGATCTCTTAAGTACAGTATATCATCTGCAAAAATATAATTTGACTTCTTTTTCAATTAGTATCCCTTTAATTTCCTTCTCTTGGCTTATTGCTCTAGGTAAGGTTTCAAACACTATATTGAAAAGGAGTGGAGATAGTGGATACCCTTCCCTGGTTCCTGATTTTAATGGGAATGCTTTGAGTTTTTTTTCTATTGAAATGATGCTGGCTGTGGATTTTTTGTATTATAGCTTTATTTATGTTGAGGTATGTTCCCTTCAGTCAGATTTGCTCTAGAACTTTTCCATGAAGGCATGCTGCATTTTGTCAAAGGCTTTTTTGGCATCTCTTGAGACGATCATGTGATTTTGGTCTTTTAAGTTATTTGTGTGGTTTATTACATTTATTTATTTATTGACTTACGTATGTTTTTAAAATGTTGTATTATTTTTATTTTATGTGCATGAATGTATTGCCTGCATGTAGGTAGGTACACCTGTGTCATGAAGTGCCCACAGAGGTCAGAAGAGGGCATCGGATCCCCTGGAACTGGAGTTATGTTGGTTGGTTAGCCACCATGTCAGTGCTGGGAATCAAACCTCGGTCCTCTGCAAGAACAGGCAGAGCTCTTAACCACTGAGCCATCTCTCTAGCCCCTGACTTATGTATGTTGAACCATCCCTGAATCTCTGGAATAACGCTAACTTGATCATGGTGGATAATCTTTTTGATATGTCTCTGCATGCAGTTTCCAAGTATTTATTGAGAATTTTT